CTCCCCGTAATCAAGATTTAACTTCGCTTCAGCTCCGGCATGATGCCCTCAAAACTTTGGAAGCACTGGACCACGCTTCAATTTCAGCCGACCCCTTTACGGATGTCTTTCTAACTGACCACCGCGATCTTCCCTCCCGATTCGACACCGTCCTCCGCGTGGATCTCTCTTCCGCGAAGCCCAGAAACCCCTCCGTCCATTCCTCCCTGGATCACGGCTCCCCTGCAAATGCCCTCATGGCGTCTCTATCCTCTTTACTTCAGCATGGTCTGGGTGATCGCACCAAGGCTGTGTCCATCCTTCACCCGCCATCTACCCCTCGGTCCTTGAAACAAGCGCATCCCTCTAACCCCAGCGTGATATTCATTGGCCTCATCCACAACCCTTCGGCTGCCTTCCGCCTGGTCGACCACGGTCCCGCTGCGGACGAGGATGACGAGACTAAGGTCAAGGCGTTCCGCGACTTCTGGGGCGATAAGGCAGAACTCCGCCGGTTCAAGGATGGTCGCATCATTGAGAGTGTCGTCTGGGACGTCAAGACAGCTGACGAGCGTGCCCATGTTCCCAACAAGATTGTTCGCCATGTCCTTCAACGCCATTTTGGAATCGACGATGGTGCCATTCAGACTTGGCAGACCTCCTTCGACTCCTTACTACGCCTTCCCGAAACAATATCTTCAAAATACCTGGCCGCTAGCATAGCCACTGGATTTAAGGGGGCGCTCACCGCTTTTGACACCCTTGTGAAGCAGATCAAAGCCCTGGACGACGCCCTCCCCCTCTCCATCCTTAATGTCAGCCCAGTATCCGAACAACTTCGCTACACTAGCGTCTTCAGCCCGGTTCCCTTGCCCTCCTCCCTCGCTTCCACAATGCCCCCGACCGCTCGGTACCTCGCGCCCATCGAGCTAATTCTCGAGTTTGAGAAGTCCTCGCGGTGGCCGGATGATCTACGAGCAATCCAGAAAATGAAGCTGGCGTTCTTTGAGCGTATAGCGTCGGAGCTCATGTCCGCTGTGACGGGCCTGCAAGCGCACATCGTGACCGGCGACGGCGTGCACGCGTCCGAGGTTATCGATAAATCTAGTCTGGAAGTGATCACTCCCGAAGGGTGGGCGTTCGTGCTGCATATCTGGAATGAGCGCGAAGCTGTCTTGTTAGACCGAATCATCGAGGCGCACACACAGCCTGTGAATGCCGTGCTGAAGACGCATTCTCCTGGTTTAGTTGTAGATGATAGCAAGAAGGGGAAGGAGCACCGCCAGGCGCTGGAGGCGAAAGAAGCGTACACTCTTCGGTTCCTGCACGCGCCGCGGCACCACCGCGCCATTGCTGCACTTTGCCATCAGTACTCTGCGTTCGCAGGCGTCGTGCGACTCGTCAAGCGGTGGTTGGCGTCTCATTGGCTGCTGAATGGGCACATCAGCGAAGAAGCCGTCGAGCTCATCTGTGCAGCGTTCTTTGTGGGTGACGGGCGGAGCGTTGGGGTTGACTCGGACGACGGCAAGCAAGATGGGCGAGCGAGCATTCCCGGTAGCAAGGAACGTGGCTTTGCCACAGTGATCGCTTTCTTGAAAGACTGGAAGTGGGAAGAAGGGCTGGTTGTTCCTCTGTACGGCTCCAACAAGGGCACGGAGGAAGTCCCTGCGAAGGCAGCGCCAAAAGCTGTCTCGGGCGGGGTATGGAATATCTCGACAGACCTCGACAAGGACGGGCGGATGTGGACGGCGCAAGGTCCCGATGCTATCGTCGCGCACCGTGTGAGGTCGCTTGCGAAAGCAACATGGAGCCACTTCCAGAGCATTGAACAAGGCCAGCTCAACATCCAAGTATGCGTTTATCTTCACGTTTTCTAATGACGAGAGAGACTAACGTTTCTGGAAGGGCATGTTCATACACCCGACGACCGACTACGATGTCGTCGTGCGCCTGGACGCGGCTATGCTTCCACGATACTTCCACAACGTCGTCGTCGATGCCGATCTGCTTCCGCGTGGTGGGAAGTACACGAACCTGCACCAAGGAGACACAGGTGACCGTCCAGGATTTGATCCGGCACGCCTCCTCTTCTCAGACCTGCAGGTACGTGCCTGGTTTTCATTCATATCACATCCCCTTACTCACCGCTCACCACTCACGGTCACAGAGACACTACGCACACACATTCAAGATTTTCCATGACTCTTTAGGAGGAGACCGGTTTGGTATCGTCTGGGACCCCTCCTTGAAAGAGCCGCGGCCATTCCGGGTGCTAGGTGAATTCTCCAGCATTCCAGTCCACAAGGCGAGTGCTACCCCGTCACGTTGTTGCCTTATACTAAGGGCAACATTTCATTAAGGCGAAAGACAAAGGCGTGGTCGTCCTGAACGAAGCCTCTATCCTGAGCGAGATCAAGCGACTAGGCTCCTCATTAGTGAAGGAAATTACGCTGCATGTGTAGTCTGCCTTGACCATGCTTCAAACAATTTCTGGACCAATGACAGCTGGATTCTGACCTGGATTTGTTTACAAAGCTACGACAAGACCTCCATTCTGCCCCAACCTCCAACTTCCAATTGCTCTTTTGACCATAACAAACAACAAGTATGTATCTCGCCACAGAGTTGGCCGACAACAGCCGCAGATTTCATCGAAAGACCCTTGAGAACACCATGGGTTTTCGTCGACGGTTTATGGCGGCTAGCTACGCGCCCGCCACCCTCAAGCCACCCTGTCAGTCTATACGTCAGCAGCCATTCCATGCCTGGCGAGCCTATTCAATTTCCTCAGTACAAATTATATATATATATATTGGCATGCAGGCGAGGCAACCGCAACCGCGTTTAGTCAATCTCAGGATGAACTCTGGCATTGACCCGCTTTTGGTCTTTTTATTTTGTCAAAGCAATGAAATCGCGCCGATGGGCGCTCATGCATTTCGGCATGAAAAGGCCTTGCGTGCCGCCAAGAGCAAATCAACGTTCGATGGAACCGTGACTGTTCTAAAATATGATATGCCAAGCGCATTGGCGCACTTCAAAAAATTGGCGGGCCCTCCCCCCAATGTAGACCTGTACACAGCGCTCGAGGCTTTGAACAATTCGAATAAGAAAAATTCAATGGACGCGTTTTTCAGGTGTTGGGAGCGCACCGATGGACGCACGACGCGGTGAAGGAACGATCGGGTCCCCTGGGCAACGCCACGCCAAGGAAGATGCCGAAGTATATAAAATGGACTATTGACGTCTCATTGGCTATCTTACTTCCTTCCCGTCTCTCAGCACCGGTTTCGACGTCCCAGTCCCTCTCTTTTGCATTTTTGCATACATTCACTCGTTACCCCGATAATGTTCTTCTCCGCTGCTGTCCTCGCTCTTCCCTTTCTCGCACAGTGTGTGTAACTGCTTTGGTTGAATTTCTGTCTCTCAGACTGACGTGGACGTCTACAGCCGTGCTCGCGGGAGGCTGCACCAGGAAATACACTATCAAGCAAGGCGACATTTGTGACAGCATTTCTGCTTCTCAGCACGTCTCTACGTGCGTGTTTTAGCTTTGAAGAGCATCAACAGCTAAGCAAAATTTCGACCCACAGCTTCCAGCTCGCAGCCATCAACCCCCATCTCATTGATGCCTCATGCTCCAACCTCGTTCCCAACACGGAGATCTGCCTTGGTTATGCCGGCGAGGATTGCAAGTCGACCTACACGGTTGTCGCTGACGACACATGCGAGCAAGTCGCTGCCACACACGGGTTTAACACTACCATCCTTGCGCTGAACAACCCTCAAATCGACGACGACTGCAGCAACCTCTACATTGGCGAGGTTCGTACCCTTCAATTTTTCATCACCCCTTTCGGGCTGACAAAGAAATCATTACAGGTTCTTTGCGTGTCTAGCTCTGTTCAAGTTCCCCCGGTTCCCGCTGGTGGCTTCATCCCCGGAGCAGCTATTCCTACCACTGCTGCTCCCGCTAAGCCCACCCGCACCAAGTCTGCTCAATTGAAGCCCCCCGCTGCCGTTGCCCCAACCCCCGCTCCCCAGTCCGCGGCGCCCGCTGAGCCCAAGCCTGAGGCACCTGCTGTCCCCGCGCCCGAGGCACCTGCTGTCCCCGCGCCCGAGGCACCTGCTGCACCCAAGCCCGAGGCACCTGCTGTCCCCGCGCCCGCAGATGACGACGACGACGACCTCCCCTACTGCGATGAGATTGACCTCTAGACCATCCCCAGCATGACCATCACCCATCTGCATGTCCCCAAGATACCACGCATTAGCATTCACATTCATCACTACCTTACCGTAGTCTGGTTCTGTTTTCTGGGGTCTTGATGCTGCTGGTTGACTCAGTGGCACGCCCTAATCATCTCATACCACAGCCTTCTTAATCTTCTTCGTATCCCCTGCTCTTTCGTCCGTCGATTGTTCGACACCGTAGATAGGCTTGAGTCCTAGGAACAGGAACAGGATTTTCATGTCTTAGCTACCGAGTAAGAAGTAAGTCAAGGGGCCATCTCCTCTTCAAGTGATTGGTTTGCCCTACATTTTCAGCGCTGTTTGTGCTGAATACGCATACTCAGATTTTGCGCCACATCAGCTTGTTATTATCTAATAGGCGATTGTCAAGTTGAACTTCAATGGGTAATCTGAAATCTATTCTATGAGCGGATACTATGATATTATTGAGTGCCATACGGGATGAGGAGGTGCAATCATTTCGATTCACGACCCATGCCGACGTGCTTTCCACTGTGCATATACTAATCCTGCTTCCCAATGTCATGTCCCTGCCCTGCCACTTCGCCGAAGCCAGCGCTGCTACATCCTCTGGGCCAAATGTGTGGCCATGTATGAATCAAACCCGGAATATCAGATTCAGAATATTTGAAGCAGTGCCCCTAAAGCGACAGCTCACTACCGTATCATTGTTGAGCGCTGATCGCGTGAAGGGACCCAAATTCGGAGGATACAGCCGGCCAGGCATGTACAGTAACATTCTTCCACAAGATCAAGATGCAAAACGTTGAGTCGACCCAGGCTCGAACTGAGGACCTTCTGTGAACAGTTGCATGTAAGACAGATGCGATAACCAACTACGCCACCGACCCGGCGGGGACTCTTTTCAGTTAGTTCTTAAACACACACTTGATCGTTGCTTGTTTGGATGTTCATCAGAACATTCTTAGCCACTCCATACTTCGATGAGGAACAATTGAATAATAGTACAGTTTATTGTACATGTGAAGGAAGCGAGGATCGGAAGGGAACCCTTGTAACAAATAAAATATTCGAGTGCATGCAACTTGCAAGCGATCACACTAGCGCAAACCCTCCAAAATCAAGGAACGCCTCGTCCAGCGACATCTTTCGAACCACCAAGGCTTCGACGATGAGCCTCGAGCCCAGCGCAACCCCTTCTTTGGGCCCTAACGCCTGCACCGCAGTCGGAGACGCGAACACATCATCGAGATTCCGGGCGTCCTGGGTAGGAGGTGCGGGCTCGCTGAGCGAGACGTGCAGTGCCGCAAGCCCCGACACGAGTGCAGACGTCTCTGCGGGCGTGGGTTCGTAGTGGGATCCGAGTTCTTCGTCGACAGTAAGCGGCACTGGGCCAGGTGAGGGCGAAGGGGAAGGAGGGGATACGGCAGCAGTAGCGTAGGCAGCCAGGGCTTTGCGCTTCTCTTCACGCTTGCGGTCGCGCATCTGCCTGCGTGTGAACACCTTTGTTGCGGGATCCGCAGGTGGATGAGGGTGAGAGTGACGAGGCTTTCCGTTTGCGTGTGTCTCTGGGTGCTCCGAATCCGACATGGAGTTGGGGTGTGTGATGTGTTTGATGCGCTTCAACCTTTTTGTTTTGGTCGGCGCGACGACGTGGTCATGAGCATGCATCTGCACGCGTGAGCGCATCGGCCGCGGCTTAAACACGGAGAATATCTCGAGGTCGGTGGCAATGTAGGTGGGCCTAGGGTCGTCACCGTCCTCAGCGTCGGCATTGTCTGCCGGGTCTGGGTCTGCGTGGGAGGCGGCAGAGGAAGAGTGAATGGCTGCAGTGCCTGTACTCTTCTCTAGAACAATGGTGGTGGACATGTCCTCCAGGTCGTCCTCATCATAGTCCGTCGTCGTCGTCTCCGTCTCTGACTCTGAAGACAGCAGAGCGGTGGACGAGCCGGAACCCGGTCGAGGCTCGCGTTGTTTGCGCTGTCCGTTCCATTTATCGGTTTGGGATGCAGCAAGACCAGCCATGGCGGCAGGAACCTCAATCTCTTTCACCACAATGACACTCGCACCGATCTCGCCTGCCATCATCTCAAGCGTCTCGAGGCTCTGCTCCAGCTCAGTGCGTGGAAGACCAACGAGGGCACCAGAGTCCGCTACGCCAAGTTCGTAGTATGCCTGGCCACCACCCTCGAGTAGGCGCCACTTGAGTTGCGTGACGAGACGAGCGAAGCGTGAGGGAGACGGGGAGAGCAGCTGGAGTTTGTATTCGACATTCCCCTCGTCCGCCTCTGGTACAAGACATGGTATAAGTTCGATGCTGAAAGGACTAGAGGAACCGGTAGAAGAACGAGAGGCAGGAGAGGGCGGGGTCGAGATGAGCGAGTCCCATGGGCTGGGAACTCGCGGGCTTTCAGATTCTGACTCGCCGAACATGAATGAAGGATTTTGAGTGCGATGTGTACGTGCTAGGTATTCGAGGTATCATTGTCGAAGATTTAGCTGAACTTAAAAGGAAGTTATAGGCGATACATGGTGGTGGAGTCAAAGCAAGTCAATCATATGACAGTCGTAATATATTTGGCATTTGTACTTGCTTGGCAACCATGATTCCGCGGTCCTTCTCGCGTTTTCTCTCCTCTTCGCCTGTTTTTCGTCATGAGAATCCACTGGTACGACTATTTTGCTCGAACGAGAGCTCTTTTTTCATCGAATCATGGTAGGGACTCCCCCAGCGCGGAGCCCCACCACAGATGCCCCGCCGAGGCGGGCCGATAGAGAAACGCGCCATTTCGAATGTACAGAAGGTTCTAGCCGTTTCTAGTGGGAAGGGTGGAGTAGGGAAGAGCACGGTGGCAGGTATGTAGGCCAGAACTCTGTACATACGCTAGCTGATATATTTCGACAGTGAACCTTGCGTTCAGTCTATCCAGCTTGCGCGACCCTACCACTGACACGCGTCTGCGTGTCGGTATACTCGATCTCGACATATTTGGCCCTTCTGTGCCGACTCTTATGGGTCTTCAGGAGAGCGGGGAGCCCGAGCTCACTGAGGGTACATCATGAAAGCTCACTTGCCCTGTTTCTCTTATTAACGCACGCTTCATACAACGCTTCATACAGTTGGGGCCCTCCGACCCCTCGTAAACCACGGTCTACCTACTATGTCCATGGGCTACCTCCTCCCCCGCGCTCCCGACACCGACTCCACCCATGACACGCCCGTCGTTTGGCGTGGCCTTATGGTCCAAAAGGCTGTACAGCAGCTGCTATTTGACGTCGACTGGTCATTGGGCCAGAAGGGCACCGGCCTGGACGTGCTTGTAGTAGACATGCCTCCGGGGACGGGCGATGTCCCCCTTACGCTCGGGCAGCTGGTGAAAGTGGATGGTGCGTTGTTGGAGTGCTTTCACAAGAGCGATACTGAACCTGATACATAGGCGCCCTGATTGTATCCACACCACAAGACGTCGCGCTCGCCGACGTGCGGAAAGGCATTGCCATGTTGCGCAAGATCTCGGTCCCAATCAAAGGCCTCCTTCTGAACAACTCGCATTATCTCTGCCCCATCTGCGCGCCCTCTTCGTCTTCGCCCACAACACATCCGCCGCACTACCTCTTTGGCTCGCCAGAACGCTTCCGCAGCACTGCGGCGCGGCTGGGGATCCCCGTGCTTGCCGAGCTCCCGCTCGTACCCGGCGTCTCTGCGGCCGGTGATCGAGGTGTGCCATATGGGCTGGTAGATCGAGTGTGGAGGGAACCAGAGGACGGGCTTGGTGGGATGGAATGGATCGAAGGAATGGCGGGCGTTGCTAGCAGTCTATGGGAGGCGCTGAACACAAGCAATACCCAATGAGGTGTCTAAAGCGTTTCGTGTCGTAAGCGCCGTTACTTGAGTATGCCTTTCCATCGGCCTCGCGGTCCATCCATTTTTCGGTGAATCAAGGGGTGGCTTTGAATGGCTATTTGGCCAAGGACCATACATTGTGGCGCAACATCATCAAGAAGATAACTCTGTCACGCTGTTGACGCCTTCGAGAGGGGCAAATGGGAAACATGATGTGCGTCTCGACGTGCATGACGGCGGCAAGTGCTGAGTGGGACCCAGACACGCCTTCGCTTGTAACGGTATACCCTTGATGCCTGTTGTGGGTTCATTGGCCTGGCACAATCCTGGATGTCGAGGCAACGAGGATACGGCATCGGAAGCAATCATATAGACCGAACAGAAAATCCCCCCTCACCGTCAGGGCATCCCCACCAGTCTGGACGAGTCCCGACGGGACGACCCCAGTAGATCAACTTTTGTGCAGATACTGCCACGGGACCGATGTTTCTTGTGACAGCTTATCGCATCGAGCGCACGAGGGTGTGTAAACCAGAGCAAAATACAAACACCTGTCTTTAGATTTGAAGATTTAACCTTCCACAATGACTCGAAGGGCGCGGAACAGTCCAAATTGGATTTTATCACACATCTCGTCAAGGGCGCTGTGGATGTGTGTACATTCGATGCGCGTACTGGACGGTTACAGTGTTAACGCCGTGCGATGTCGGCAAACGCTCTGGAAGACGAATGGGAAGACGCCTGAGATATCATCTGGGGTCGGCTAGGACTGATAATCGGCGCACGCGGCGTGCCAGTTATGCATTTATCTTTTCGCTTTCTCTGCGTAGTTCGTTGTCGCATAAGACTGGGATTGGGAGTCAAACCGCGCAAAGGTATCACCCCGAATATGGCTCCCCAGCTCCGCATCGCATGCGAGCCAAAGATCCTTCAGATACAGCTCTTCGCTCCGCGTGTATTGCTCCTCATCGCCTTCATAACTCGTCATATGCCGGGCCAGCCAGACGCACGTTCCTCACAAAGAAGGTCCAAGAGCATGGGAGGCTTTAGAAGCCACCATCAACAGTGTACTCGTAACAGTCGACAACTTCGAAGCCTCACCTTTGGTAACTGCCAACTGCTCCAGAGTCCAGAGTCGTGCCGACGGATAAGGTGTTGTTTCTCGGTAGGGCCCAAGCCGAGTTCGACGGTTGATCCAAATAGCGCGCGTAGACTAGAAATCGAAGAAGGGATGAAGGTTCCTTAAAGATAACAATTTGTCTCCAATGAACCGAAGCCGGCAAGGAAAAATTTTGTATCCCACATTCGAATATTGGATCCCGGATGGCTGCGAGTAGACCGGTGACCGTTCCCTCCACGAATACAAGTCCTCCACTCGAGACTTGTATCCGTGGAGGGATTGGTTACCAGTCTAGGCTGCGGGTTTTCGGAAAATGATGTCCGTCGGCGTTTTGCGCGACTCGCGATTTTTTTGGAAAATCAGAGAAATGAGATTAATTCGAAAAAATCGTAGTCTCAACGCCATTCTATGAGGCCTCACTGCATGAGGAGCACTTCTGTTCTCACTTCTGGAACTTTTTTCATCCCAAAACTCTGAAAATTACGCCTGATAGCGATACGAAGATAGGAATGGCTGGCGGTGTGACCACGCTGAAGCACCATGTCAACAAGGCCCACTGGACGCGAACACCATGTGTACAAGGGCGAAGGCGGAGCTTTGAGGGTCAGTGCAGATGGCGGGGGCAACGTTGACGAGCCTGTGGATTCTGGAGACATTCAAGTTGGCTCGATGGGAAAAGGGGACAGAAGCTGTCGAGCCAGAGGTGAGTGGTGGAATCCTTGCTCATCGGCGTGTGTCACAGATTTCACCACTCGCGAAAACCCATCACGCTTCAAGTTTCAAGTCTGAGGTTCCCCGCAAGGGGATAGCTTCCGTTGGGTCGGGAGTGTATTCAGAGTCCAGGCAATTCCTCGATGTTGACTCCAACTCTTGAGTCTTTCGAGCAGTCTGCGTCAAGTCATCTATCATTACTGTATGGCGGCGAA